GAGGTGTTTCTACTAGAGTTCCTGGAGCCGCTGGTCCCGGAGGTGCTCGTACTGGAGGTACTGGAGCTGCTGGGGCTGGAGGTACTGCTGGACCTGGAGGTGCTGCTGTCGACTCTGAGGTTGGAGGCCCTGGAGCTGGAGGTGCAGGTTCTGGGGGTGCTGCTGTTGGAGACACGAGGCTGGAGACCCTGGGACTGGAGGTGCCGGTTCTGGGGGTGCTGCTGGTGGTGGTGCTGGTACTGGAGGTGCTGTTGCTGGAGGTTCTGGAGCTGTTGGAGGTGCTGGCGCAGGTGGCGCTGGTGCGGGAGGTTCTGGAGCTGCTGGTGGTGCTGGTGGCACTGGTGCTGGTGGGACTGCACAGCCGCGACTGTTCTTCGCTCCGCCGTCGCCTTCGTCCCTGCCGCCGCCTGACTCCGTGCTTCGCCAGGTACTTAGCCTCCCGTCTTCTACTGGTCTTCCGTTACAGCCTGGCTCCCCGCTGCCTGCTCCTTCTCCTTACACTGAGCAGCCAGGAGGTCTTGCTGAGCGTCGTGAGCCTGCGTCTCGTCCTGTCTCGCCTGTTCGCACTGTCCGCACTGGTCGTACTGGTCGTCGTGTTCCTCGTGAGCGTCCGCCGGCTGTCCCCGGCACACACCTCATGGCCCTGCGTCCTTCCTCTGCTCCGCAGCGTGTTCCCCTGCCGTCCCCTCCTGCGTCTTCTCTGCCTGACGTTCCAGAGCCTGAGTCTGACCGCGCTCGTGCTGCTCACCCTACTGTCACGCGTCTGCTAGCCACTGTTGTCACTGACCTGTCGTTTGAGTCTGCTGCTGCGTCTGCCTTAGTCGCTGAGCTTGTTGACTTTGCTGCTGCCTGTCGTCTAGACTACGCCGCTAGTCTTGTTGCTGAGTCTGAGTCTGTCTGTCCTCCGTCCATCGGGGGTGAGTGTGCTCTTAGCACGGACGTCCTTGAGGACAGGCAGGAGGACCTTGAGTGTCTTGCAGCCGCTGCGCCTCATCTCATGGCCATGCTGCTTGCCCCTGAGGGAGACCCGGATGCTCCAGACATCCCGACCCCGCGCTCTTACGCTGAGGCGATCGCGGGTGAGTACTCCTCTCAGTGGCAGACAGCCATGGACGCAGAGATGGCATCCTGGAAGTCCACAGGCATTTACGTTGACGAGGTTCCCCCTCCTGGGGCGAACATCGTCAGTGGCATGTGGATTTTCAGGGTGAAGCGGCCGTCGGGTTCTCCGCCTGTCTTCAAGGCTCGTTACGTTGCTCGAGGCTTCAGTCAGCGGGAGGGAGTTGACTTCTTCCAGACCTTCTCCCCCACCCCGAAGATGACCACTCTTCGGGTGCTGCTGCACGTTGCCGCTCAGCGTGACTACGAGCTTCACTCTCTTGACTTCAGCACAGCTTTCTTACAGGGCAGCCTGCACGAGGAGATCTGGCTGCGCCGCCCACCTGGCTTCACTGGGTCGTTCCCTCCTGGTACCCAGTGGAGCCTCCGGCGGCCAGTCTACGGTCTCCGCCAGGCGCCGCGTGAGTGGCACAACACACTGAGGACGACACTTGCTGCTCTTGGGTTTGCTCCTTCCACTGCTGACCCGTCGTTGTTTCTGCGCACCGACACTTCGCTGCCGCCGTTCTACATCCTCGTGTACGTCGACGACTTGGTCTTTGCCACTGCTGACACTGAGGCTCTCGCCCTGGTGAAGTCGGAGCTGCAGAAGAGATACACGTGCACAGACCTGGGTGAGCTGCGCAGTTACCTTGGCTTGCAGATCACCCGGGACAGAGCACGCCGCACCATCACACTGACTCAGTCACACATGGTGCAGCAGGTCCTTCAGCGCTTCGGCTTCACCTGGTCCTCGGCACAGTCCACTCCTCTGGCTACAGGTCACTCGCTCTCAGCTCCACCTTCGGACGAGTCCGTAGAGCCGAGTGGTCCTTACCCAGAGCTAGTGGGCTGCCTCATGTACCTGATGACCTGCACTCGTTCTGACCTTGCGTACCCTCTTGGCCTTCTGGCTCGCTACGTGGCTCCTGGTAGGCACCGAAAGGTGCACATGGATGCTGCTAAGAGGGTACTGCGCTACTTGTGCAGTACATCGGGCATGGGGCTCGTGCTTGGAGGACAGGGCGACGTTGTCCTCACTGGGCACTCGGACGCTTCTTGGGTTGACGACCTGGCTACGCAACGGTCCTCACAGGGTTACACCTTCAGTCTTGACTCTGGCTCTGTTTCTTGGCCGTCTACACGCTCGTCTTCTGTTCTCAGCTCCAATTGTGAGGCTGAGATCTACGCCACAGCCATGGCTGCACAGGAGTTACGCTGGCTCACCTACCTGCTGACCGACTTGGGAGAGCGGCCTCGTTCTCCTCCAGTTCTGTACGTAGACAACAAGGCCGCCATTGCCTTGTGTCAGGAGCACAGACTGGAGCACAGAACGAAGCACATCGCTCTGCGTTACTTCCTTGCTCGAGAGTTGCAGCATCGCTCTGGTCAGCTTCGTCTTGCTCACGTGGCCACTCGGGCCAACACTGCTGATATATTCACCAAGGCACTTCCACCTGGTGATCATCAGCGCTTTTGTACTTTGTTAGGCCTTGTGCCCACGTTTCCTCACTTGCTGTAGACTTTGCTTGTACAGTGATCTATGTATATATATACCTGCATGCTTGCTCTTGCTAGGCAGTGATCACTGTGTTGTTGTTGTTGCATATATACCTCTGCATGTGAACTGGCCTTGTGGCCCTCTGCTTGTGCTCAGTGTGTGTGGTGACGTTGTGATCCACCCTGAGCTTGCTTTGCTTTTCTTGACTGGTCGTGCGACCTCTTGCTCTCCCCCACTTTGCCTATGGGGGTGTGTCAAATTATATATGCTATATATGTGAGTAGGCTGTAGTGGGGTAGCCAATATGGGGTATAGCCCCTTTAGGGTTTCATATTTGTACCCAACTTTGTTCTAGTTCATCCATTCCTGCTAGTTGTTTACGACATGACCATTTATAAGGCATACCCGTAATATCTCAACAAAAAGACCCCTCCGCATCAGAAGCCCCATCATGAGTCGTCAATCGGGCCTAAGGGTGTTTTATTATGCCAGTCCTCATGAGGAGCCGTCTTTTGACAACTCTAGACCCCCCCTTCTTGGTGATATGCTACAATGAATTGTGTTGAGCTAGTGAGCTGGTGAGTGAGAAAAAAAATCCAGCAGATTCACGGTGTCGGGCGAATTGGTCAAGAGAGTCACGATGCCATATCAATCACGCGTTTTTGCCACCCGTGTGGATTCACGGTTATTGCTAACGTACCTGTCATGAATGGGCATTACAGAACGTGCGGATGGGAATCAGCGAGAATGGGGTGCAAAAATCTGAGAGCAGATTTCCATGTTGAAGGAATCCCAAATTCAGTTTTTTTTCTTCTTCTTCTTATTATTATTATTATTATCATCATCATCATCATTATCATTATTTTATTATTATTATCTATTTTTTCTTCAACGCTGCACCACACAATCCCTTTTTTCTTTTGTAATTTATAAATGTCTGTTGAGATATGAACTTTATGAGAAAACATTCCTGAACGTTACAGGAACCGAGCTTACCGAGTATGAAGACAAGAAGTCAAGAGTGTCGAATCGAAACGACACCAGCAACCGTCAGATCGAGACCGATGCATGCAAAAACATTCGAAGTGAAAAAGGCGTGAACAGTTTGAAACGGGTTCCCGCGCCGTACTGTTAAAATTCAATGTAATAAGGGATTGTACCCCTTACAGTACATGGCTAGCTAGGACGTTTTGTTTTCTCCTTGTATTCCTATATAAATACGATGGATGCATGCTTTTATTATCTCAATCATTTACATTCACTCTGATCTGAGTTCAAACACTTACGCTGCAACAAATCACATGCGATCAACCCTAAGCTAATCCCTGGCTAGCTATGTACATGGGTCTTATACACTTTAAGCCATGAACGAAGACCCCACAGCCCTTTCTAAGCACATTGAGGAGAAGACCCTCGGGCCTTATATACTATAAGCCATAAAAGAAAACCCCCTTGTAAAAAGAACAATCATCTATAAGAATCCACCATAATTGAAGGCACTCTTGACTTCAATATGACAATATCTTCTATCCGAGCGATGACGGTATAATTATTGTAGGACCTACCGTAAAGCCTGTGGAATTCCGAGGATTACACCAATTAAAACTATAGTGAAACGTTTATATTTTCAACAAAAAAAGAGCAGGCATTGTTATGCCCGTGGATGCATGTGCATCAGTTGCATCTGGGCTCTTGCATGCATCAGATGCACTTGTAGCCCTTGCAGCTGAGGACGAAGGGAATGCAGATGCGGCCTGGGCAGGACTTGAACGAGCAGCCACTGCGCTTCTTCCGGCACTTTGGAGGGGCGGGGGCTGCTGGAAGGGTAAGAGGGGAGAAAGAGGAGGTGGGTGTGATGCGACGAATGTGTGGGTCAGTGTATGCGTGTGTACACTCGTGCACATTTACAAATAAGCACACAGATACACAGGCAAGCATGTGGGCGCGAGCCAAAGCATGCACATACAGACAGGTGATCAGTGGTGTGCTGTGTACTCGCATGCATGCTTTAAGAATCATACCCTGCATTCACCCGCCATCCCAGCCATCGTTTCTCTCCCCAAACCATGCTCTCTCATTGATGTCCGCTCATTCAACTCAACTCACACTACTTCTGTATATTTTGAGGCCGACTTTATGGCGCCTTAAAAACAGGCCTCAAATACTCTTACCTTCTCACCTTTCAATTCTCCCTCCTACTCATCTCCCTTCCGTCCCTCCGCCACCATGCTTCCCCTGCGCCCTTTGAGGCGCCTGAAAAGTCCTCCCACAAGTTTCCCCCGCGCCGTCTCTCTCACCCGGACGCACGGTTGACATCATCACGAGGTGATCATTCTAATGCAATAGAGGTGAAATCAAAGCTTCCCTTCACCATCCTCCTTACCCTCACCCTCCTTCTTACCCTTGCGAGAGCACGTGTCGCAGAAGTCAGTGCAGGCACGGCAGAAGGCTGTGCCGGAGTACTGCACCACCTCGCACTTCCCGTAACCGCATGGCGTCGCCTCGTAGTTGACATAGCTGTGAGGCAGAGAAGACCGAGCAGGAGGAAAGGGGGTGGGGGAGCGGGGGGGGGGGAGGAAGAGGGGGGGGGGGAAGTGGGGGAGGGGGTTGAGATAGAGGCTGGTGGTTAGGATTTGGGAAGAATTTAGGTTCAGATCTTGTAGAATGGGAACATGAAATGACAAGGAGGGGTTAAGCAGTGGTTGTTTGCCGAATGGCTAAGAGGAGCAGCAGCATTGGAGGTTCGGTGCAGCGTAGTGGTGAGGGAAGAGTGGAAGCACAGGAAGGACTTAAGACGTCACACCCTACCTAGGACTTCAAATGCCAGGCCCCACCAAAGACATGAGGACACGTGTGCAAACAAGATGCGGAAAAGAGGGCTGGACGGGCAGGGGACTAACAGGTACTGCAGATTGAGCATGGCACCCATGGAGGCCGGCACGGAGCCCGTGAGTGTTGGTATTTGCAGGTCACTGCGTGAGTGGTATCCATGGATGGTGGTAAGATGGTGGCGTGTATGGTGGCGTGTGGGATGTGGTACATGGTCGCATGGAGTGCAATGCAGCAAACCATGGGAGCATGGTGGGGAAAGACATGAAGAGGGCGAAGAAAGGGGCAATCGAGACCATTTTGGTAATGTAAGGGTGAGAGCGTGGAAGGTAGTAGGGTGAACAGGAGTGAAGGAATGGCCCTGACGTCCAGGAAGAGAAGAAGAGAGATGCACTAAACTTTTGAGATGAGCATCAACTGTGGACAAGCGCCTTGCACATGCTACCAATGCATGCTGCTCCCAGGACGCATAGAAGGCCCAGCTTGTTTCGTGTGATGGCGAGTCAAGATTACAGGCGAGAGAGGTGCTGCATTTTGGTGATGGCGGTGGGGATTGTGCCGGATAGCAACGTGTAGCCTAGATCACTGGAGGAAGCAAGATGGGTGAAGGAGAGAGGGTGAGGAAGAGAGAGATCAAGGCCCTTGAAAGTCCTAGAAGTAGGTCTGTTATGACCACCATACAGTGTGAGGGTGTTGAGAGTAACCGTGGACTGCCTGTGGGCCTCCCACATGCAGGTACGTCGAAACAGAATATGGATAGAAACGGTAAAGTACAATTTGAGGTGCATAGACTCAAAAAGCAACATGCTCTTAGGGGTTAGGTGGATAAGGCGCAATCAGGAAGATATCTTAGGAGGACCCTTTCAAGCCGTGGAAATTTGTAGATGGATAAGGTTGGATAAGCTGAGATTGAAAAAAAAAAAACCGAAATGACACTCACTAATCAGTTTTGACCTAAAAACTAATAAAGCAACAGATAAGGTGCAGCCTATGTCCAACACAAGGGCTGCCCCACCCCGGTGTGTTCTCGTTCAACATGACTTGCTGCAGAATACAATACAAGCCCCGGTGTGTCTCGAGCAAAAACCACATGTGCATGTTTGAGTGAAGAGTGGTCTGTGAGTGAGGCAAGCGTACAGGTAGGTGAGGGAAATGAGAGAGGTGATGGAGGCAGGAATGCTGCCTGTGAAGTCATTTTTGCCCAGCTTCCTGCGGAGATGGATGGTGGGGATGAGGGGGGAAGGGAAGGAGAGGAGAGGAGATAATATGGGACGGATGGTGGGGGATGCAGCCTCCTGTAGGGGGTGTGGTGCAGATTCGGATTCGCACAGACTGACATTTTCTCACGTGGTCACACGTCCACTTGCTTACATGGTCACACGTCCATTTCCTCAGATGATTCCACCCACGCACGCAGCTGTAACGAGTCACAAAACAAGTCACCCAAGTTCTCACATGCACTCATGTCCTCACACTCATGTGCTTGCATGCACTCATGTGCTCACATGCACTCATGTGGTCACATGCACTCATGTGCTCGCATGCACTCATGTGCTTGCATGCATTCATGTGCTCGCATGCACTCATGTGCTCGCATGCACTCATGTGCTCGCATGCACTCATGTGCTCGCATGCACTCATGTGCTCGCATGCACTCATGTGCTCGCATGCACTCATGTGCTCGCATGCACTCATGTGCTCGCATGCACTCATGTGCTCGCATGCACTCATGTGCTCGCATGCACTCATGTGCTCGCATGCACTCATGTGCTCGCATGCACTCATGTGCTCGCATGCACTCATGTGCTCGCATGCACTCATGTGCTCGCATGCACTCATGTGCTCGCATGCACTCATGTGCTCGCATGCACTCATGTCCTCACACTCATGTGCTTGCATGCACTCATGTGCTCACATGCACTCATGTGGTCACATGCACTCATGTGCTCGCATGCACTCATGTGCTTGCATGCATTCATGTGCTCGCATGCACTCATGTGCTCGCATGCACTCATGTGCTCGCATGCACTCATGTGCTCGCATGCACTCATGTGCTCGCATGCACTCATGTGCTCGCATGCACTCATGTGCTCGCATGCACTCATGTGCTCGCATGCACTCATGTGCTCGCATGCACTCATGTGCTCGCATGCACTCATGTGCTCGCATGCACTCATGTGCTCGCATGCACTCATGTGCTCGCATGCACTCATGTGCTCGCATGCACTCATGTGCTCGCATGCACTCATGTGCTCGCATGCACTCATGTGCTCGCATGCACTCATGTGCTCGCATGCACTCATGTGCTCACATGTGCTCCACTTGTGTCATCCGGGTGAGGACAGTCGGAAAGTCCTCTGAGAACTTGTTCTTGCTCAGGTCCCTGCCGTTGTTAACACGGGCAGGCGGGGGAGAGAACGGGGTGGAGGATAGCAGGGGAAGGGGAGGCAGAAGAAACCTCAGGCACTTGGACAATAGTCACTGCTTCAGTCTGTCTCCTTCTCATGTTCACATAACTCTCTCACGGTCACCCCATACTCATACACACCTCACTCACTCCATACCCACATACTCTCACAATCACCCCACACTCAAGCCTGCCTCACAGTCACACCATAAGCACGCTCACAGCGAGTGCGCTTACAGCAAGCGGGCTTACAGCAAGCGCCAGCAAGCGCACTCGCAGCAAGCGCACTCGCAGCAAGCGCACTCGCAGCAAGCGCACTCGCAGCAAGCGCACTCACAGCAAGCGCACTCACAGCAAGCGCACTCGCAGCAAGCGCACTCGCAGCAAGCGCACTCGCAGCAAGCGCACTCGCAGCAAGCGCACTCACAGCAAGCGCACTCACAGCAAGTGCATTCACAGCAAGAGCACGACTCACATGCGCTTCAACGCTGCCAGTGCACTCAAGCTTTGCGGGATAGGAGACTCCAATGTGTTGCTATCCAGCAGCCTGGCAAGAGGAACAGGGGGAACGGAAGACAGGAAGGGAGAAAGCAGGAGGGCGAAGGGAAGAGGGGGAACGGTGGAGGATGCAAGAGGGAGGTGCACGACGAGGGAGGAGGGAGTGGGATAAGGGGAAAGGTGGGGAAACTGGGAGGTCAAACGATCCTCTCAGCTGAACTCTCACAGCCGTTCCCTTCATTTTGTGCATTTACTCGGGCCCCAACCCAACTTCCATCCACTGACCGCAGATTCTACTCGACACAGCACCTTTCCTTGGTAAGCAATCTCATCACTAACATCCTTGAGAGTGGAGGAAGGGGAAAGATGGTGGGGAAGAGTGGAGGTTGGAGGAATCAAGTGGGAGCAAGGGAAGAAGGGTGAATTGGGAAGGGAAGGGGAGGTTCAGCAATGTGAAGATGGGTGGCGGATAAAGAGAGGGAGTGGTCTCACGCACAGGCTGTGCAGATTGGTCAGTGGGGAGAGGTCGTCGAGGGTGCCGGTCAGAGAGTTGTAGGAAAGGCAACTGGAGGGCAGATGGGGCGAGGAGAGAGGGATGGGAGTGCCAATTTACTATATGCATGTTTTGTAGGCTAGGCTGGAGGAATGTGTCAATCGACACTCACGCACTCACTCGCAGATGGCTAGCCTAGGCTAGGCTGGATGTGGCATGCCAGTTTATATGTTCAGTTTGTTGCTTGACAGGGCGTTGGGTGAGGGGCAGGAGGAAAGTGGTGATGCATGGTGAGGCGTAGTGTGCATAGAGAGCAGTGTACGAGATAACATTTTCAACATTTTGAAAAATCGCCTGCAACGCTGCGTGGGTATTGCAATGCTGCATGGGTATGACAACATGGAAGCAAGAATTGAGCAGCTTAGGTTTCTTTCTTACAGCCATGAGAGCCACTGCAGCTGAGAGATCGTGCCTGGAATGGATCCCTCAAGCTTGTTGTCGTTCAGGTAGCTGGATTCAAAAAAGGTGGATGGGTTGAATGGCATGGCATGCCAGCGCATGATAACAATCAAGTTGTGTGCGCAACAGAATGAGGGTTATTGCGGTTTTTCAGAACTCCCACATGAGTACGGCCAACGTGGTAACCACCTCTCTCGCTATCTCGTGAGGACACCCATGTGGTTAACACTGATCTGCACCTTTCTCGCACTCCCACTCGCTTGTCCCCCTCCCTCCCCCCCTCCCTATCTTCCTCCCTCCCTCCCTTCCCCCCCTCCCTCTCCCCCTCACTCACAGGGCATAGAGGTTTGTCAAAGCGCCTATAGAAGTGGGTATGGCTCCTGACAGCGTGTTATTTGATAGCACACTGGGCGAGGAGGAAGAGCAGGAAGAGCACGAAGGAGCATGAGGGTTCAGAACAGAGGAGAGACGGGACGTGGGGGTGTGTAGCGGGGAAAGTGGTATAGAAGGATGGAGAGTGGTAACGAGCAATATTGAATCAACCGGAGGCATGGGGTGGGAGGGATGGCATGGCATGGCATGGAATGGCATGGCATGGAAGGGTGCGGAGCAAATTTGTTCAACAACCGTTCTAACTTTGGATGAGCACAATGCATGGCAGATAACCATTTTGACATGTTGTCTACTGTTTGTTCCCCATGCGTTCTTTGGAACCTCTTGTTCAAAAGGCCACCTCGAACCAAGATGTACCACACTCTAGATTGTACCAAACCCTAAAATCTACCACACCCTAACAATCAAGTTGTAAGACTTCAGTATGTGTGTGCAACAGAACGCGGGGTTGCTGCGATTTCTCACAACTCTCATGTGAGCACAGGTGATGTAGTAACTAGGCTTGAGCAAGGTGGCGAACACGAGGCGAACCGAACAGGTTTTGTTTTTCAGCTTAAATCGTTCGCCCGAACGTGTTCGAGGTTCGCCCGAACACGTTCGTGTTCGTGGCGCTGCTGCAGAACGCCCCGTGTCGAACACGAACGTGTTCGAGGTTCGCCCGAACACGCCTCCACAGGCGAACAGCGAACACCTGTTTTTGCCTAAACTGTTCGCCGAACCGAACAGTGTTCAGTTCGGCGAAGGGGCGTGTTCGAGAAGGGGCGAACACGAACATGTTCGTGTTCGCCCTTTGCTCATCCCTAGTGGTAACCACCGCTTTCGCTAACCTGTGAAGACGGGTAATGTGGTAACCAGCTCTTGGATATTGATGTGGTTACCACCTCCCGGATATTGATGTGGTAACCACCTCCCGGATATTGATGTGGTAACCACCTCCCGGATATTGATGTGGTGATATTGATGTGGTAACCAGCTCTTGGATACTGATGTGGTAACCAGCTCTCTCATGATCTCTTGTGAGGACATCCACATGGTAACCCACTCCCTTGATCTACATCACCCTCCCTCCCTGCACACTCACTCCTACGTCCCCCTTCCTCCCTCTCCCCCTCCCTCCTCCCCTTCCTCCCTCTCCCCCTCCCTCCTCCCCTTCCTCCCTCCCTCTCCCATTCTTTTCCACCCTCACAGGCCATTGAGGCTCGTCAAGGCGCCTATAGAGGTGGGTATGGTTCCTGACAGCTTGTTGTTGGATAGCACACTGGCGAGGAGGAAGAGCAGAAAGAATGAAGAGCGTTCAGAAGTGGGGAGAAACGAGGGGTGGAGGTGTGTCGGGGTGGTATGGAGCGTTGGAGTGTGGTAGAGAGCAGTAGGGAGATGTAAGAGAACAGCGAGTGAGTGTGTGTGGTTGCGTACGCACTAGCATGGAGGGAGGGAGGGAGGGAGGGAGGGAGGGAGGGAGGGAGGGAGGGAGGGAGGGAGGGAGGGAGAGAGGGAGGGAGGGAGGGAGGGAGGGAGGGAGGGAGGGAGGGAGGGAGGGAGGGAGGGAGAAGGGAGGGAGGGAGGGAGGGAGGGAGGGAGGGAGGGAGGGAGGGAGGGAGGGAGGGAGGGAGGGAGGGAGGGAGGGGGGGAGGGAGGGAGGGGGGGAGGGAGGGAGGGAGAGAGGGAGGGAGAGAGGGAAGTTGGACGAACGAGAGGGTGTGGAAATAGAATATGGGTGGGGGAGCGGTGGGATAGAGAGGTTGATGCTCAAAGAAGGAAAGATACGGCAGCAATTAAACTGGCGAAGCCTCGGCAGCTGGGTAGTGGGAACGCTGACAGGTGGGTGAGTGTTCTGAAGGAAGAGAGGAAGGAAGGGATGGTCCCTTCGAGCTCATTGTTGGCTATTGACCTGCGAGCAGCACGCAGCATGCAGCACGGGGTGAAGGCAGTCACATACTAGCTGTGCCTATTTGTGAGGTGTCTGAGAAACAGTCAGATGTTGGTTGTGTGATAATTACAGGCGTAAGAATTGGCCGGAGAGATGAAGTGAGCTGAACGGGGTTTGGAGTGCGATGTGGGAGAGGGAGAGTGATGCGCACACACAGAGGTCAACTCTCGCTTGAGTGAGGTTCATTCTTGCTATGCAGGCATGGTTGCAGGAGGGAGAGCAATGGAGGGAGAGCAATGCAGGGAGAGCAATGCAGGGAGAGCGATGTAGGGAGAACGATGACGAGATGCACAGTTGTGATGTGAGCGGGAGGCGGAGAGCGACTGACAGGTGGTACAGGCTGGTGAGAGTACTCAGAGCGTTAGGGATGGAGCTTCCCAGCTTGTTGTATTCCATGAAGCTGTGATGGGCGGAAAAAAATGTGGAGATTCAAAGGACCAAGTTGATTCTTTCTTACGTTTATGAAAACAGTAATGAAAGGTTGACAACGATCGGAATGGAAAGTTACAGAGCAGAGGGGGGTGCAAGAGGGAGCATGAGAGGTGTGGAAAGCACGAGGAGCGAGAAAGCATGGTCAATGCATGAGCATGTGCATGCCTGCAGCAGTTGCAGGAATGTGTGAGTGGAGAGTTGCAGCAGAGTGCGATATGAACTGGCGGGCACTGAGAGAGAGGGTCATATGGCACTGAGCACTGACAGGTACTGAAGCATCATCAAGCTGCCCATTTCCGTGGGAATGCTGCCTGTGAGCATGTTTTGTGAGAGGAAGCTGCAAGGGTGAGAAATTACATGCCCACATACACACATAACATGACATGCAGGGGAGTGGAGAAGAGAAAAGGGCAAAAGAGCATCTTCAACAATCTTGGTATTTTAAGCATTCGACCCTCGACTCGACCCCTGCACGTGATTACCTACACTCCGTGCTTCCACAACCCCACTGCTGACTTTGTCCAAAAGCTGCGTGTTTTACATAGGGAAGTGTTATTCTCTATTTCTCGTGGATTTGTTTTTTTTTTTTTTTTTTTTTTTTTTTTTTTTTAAGCTTGCGGAGGCTGTTGGTGTGCAGCCTTCTGCATCCCCTCGACACTTCACAAAGAAAAAACTCGCTGCACAAACTGGCGCAAAGCTGCCTCGCACTCATGGGTGATCTCAAATGTGAGCCGCTGGTTGGATTCTCAACTGCGGCCACTGCTGCCGGTTTACCCACAGGACTCCCTCTCGCTACTGCTCAAGCTGGAAAAAAGAACTAATTTGTCTAGCGGAAATCTTCTAGCTACCCCAGCATCCCACTTCAGGAGGACTCGATGCGGTTACCAGCTTGCGTCAACGATTCTTGAGATTTAGGTGGTTGGGATTCTTGAGATCTAGCTCATAACTGTAGATCTCGATTGTCCCCACCTAACCGGGGTATGTGAACAGTCTGGTTTCTTCGAGTGACGCAGTTTTTGCAATCAAATTTCCCTTGACTAGAGTAAATTTTACCTTCAGATGTTTCGTTTCGTACCGAAACACTTTCCCTGGCACCGTTGCCCTCCCATTCAAGAGTGACGACGTCAATTCCTGCTTGGTCCGCCAATGGCTGGCTGGCACACTTACAGATATCGGAGGGACGTGAGCTTGCTTATGGCGGGGGGAATGGCACCAGACAGCTGGTTGTTGGCGAGATGGCTGCGGAGGGGACATGCAAGCCATGGAAGATGAAGAGCCGCAGCGACATTGGAATGTCACGTGGGGTTTATGGTCATGGCATGGGAGTGAGACATGGCATGGGTTGCTTGGTCGTCTATGGCTGCTTGATTGGCAATGACTGGAAAACTCACAAAATTTGGAGGGCCGTGAGAGCGCTTATGTCAGGGGGAATGGCACCCGACAGCTGGTTGTTATCAAGCGTGCTGTAACGATGACATGCGGGCCAAGGGAGAAGGATTGTCATGGGGGCACATTGGCATGACACGTACAGGGATATGGTGACGGCTAAGCATGCACACAACTCTGACTCTAACTTCTTGGATCACGTTGCCTCAAACTTGCCTCAAACTTGCCTCAAACTTGCCTCAAACTTGCCTCAAACTTGCCTCAAACTTGCCTCAAACTTGCCTCAAACTTGCCTCAAACTTGCCTCAAACTTGCCTCAAACTTGCCTCAAACTTGCCTCAAACTTGCCTCAAACTTGCCTCAAACTTGCCTCAAACTTGCCCCAAACTTGCCTCAAACTTGCCTCAAACTTGCCTCAAACTTGCCTCAAACTTGCCTCAAACTTGCCTCAAACTTGCCTCAAACTTGCCTCAAACTTGCCTCAAACTTGCCTCAAACTTGCCTCAAACTTGCCTCAAACTTGCCTCAAACTTGCCTCAAACTTGCCCCAAACTTGCCCCAAACTTGCCCCAAACTTGCCCCAAACTTGCCTCAAACTTGCCTCAAACTTGCCTCAAACTTGCCTCAAACTTGCCTCAAACTTGCCTCAAACTTGCCTCAAACTTGCCTCAAACTTGCCTCAAACTTGCCTCAAACTTGCCTCAAACTTGCCTCAAACTTGCCCCAAACTTGCCCCAAACTTGCCCCAAACTTGCCCCAAACTTGCCTCAAACTTGCCTCAAACTTGCCTCAAACTTGCCTCAAACTTGCCTCAAACTTGCCTCAAACTTGCCTCAAACTTGCCTCAAACTTGCCTCAAACTTGCCTCAAACTTGCCCCAAACTTGCCCCAAACTGGCCCCAAGCTTGCCCCAAACATGCTCCAATCATGCTCCAAACATGCACACACTTTTTGGATCACCAAACAACGTTACACCGAGCATGCTCAGATCAACTCAGACTTTTTGGGAAAATGAGGCGTTTGAAGTTCGACCAAAGAAGAAAAAAACGTGTTTGGCTTCAACCTAAATAGGTTCGAATTGATTGAACATGCAAGTCGCCAACACCCAGCTGACCCACACCGGAAGGACCTCGTTGGACGTTTTATAAAACGGACAGTGTGACCCCGCCGTTTTATATAGATCCAATTGCTTATGTACATGGAATCTGAAGGAACCCCCTTGCGTAGTTAGGTGGTCCTTCAGTGAAATACCGCAACGTGATAGGCCGTCCAAAACGTGCGGCATCAGCAACGCGTCTGATGGTCACGTCACGAGGACTGTCTCATCCTTGCACACGTGCACGAAGGCACCCAAATCGGAGTGCGCCACGACGTGCACATAGCTAGCGCTGTGGACGAGTGAGTAAACCTATTATATGCGATAGAGGACCAGGAGAAAGAGGAGGTTGCGGCTTTATCTAGAACCTTTGAGCATTTCTGAACCAGCTTCTCCTTGCGCGAGGTTTTTTTTTCTACAATAGGCTTCAACCATTTCTTCCACCCGTAAACTACCACTGTCTTTAAAGAAAAGGAACGTCACGGCGTTCAAGGAACCAAGCACAGAAATGCTTTAGCAGACTAGGGACATGGTCGAGGAGAGAGAATCTGCTTATATCTGAGCACAATAAACGGTCCTGTCAACCTGGCATCCAAACCCGTGCGACCGCAGTTCCGCGTGTATTGAGTCAAACAAGGACACAGTGTGACGTCGGACAAGTTCGATTCAAACATTACCACGTTATATATTTTGCTCAACCTGTGGCCGTGACGGTTAGGGAGTGCGACGTGGCATGGGAGGGAGGCAAGGGTTGCCGGGTCGTCTATGGCTGCTTGGTTCCAATAGCTGGCACACTCACAGGTGCACGAGGCCCTTGAGGGCGCCAACGGCGGCGGGAATGGAACCAGACAGCTGGTTGTTGGAGAGAACACTGCGATGGGGATGTGCAGGCCATGGGAAATGGCGGGTCATTGGGGTATTGACATGGTATGTGAGGGGGGACGGTAATGGCGTGGGAGAGAGGCTTGGCATGGGATCGAAACATGGCATTACAGTGAGACATGCAAAGGAGGAATCTGTTGTGTGGTCCTCTATGGCTGCTTGGACGTCAATGGTTGCCGCCACTCATGGTTGGAAAGGCCGGTAGAGAAAGAGGAGAAAAACATAAAGGCAGTGATATCTAGCTATAAGGAATGAACGGCAGTGTTAGGCCTTCACCGGTGCTTCTGGACAATCGAAACAGCATAGTGTGAGCTTATACTAACTCACACCACGAACAAATAAAAAAAAAATCAAGTACCAAGCTTGCCTTTCAGCAGACATTCGTCAACAGACCCACGGGTAAAAAACCAAGGTTGCAAAGTGTCGACCTTCAGAAGCGTCATCATCAGGACTTTTGCAGGGCACGAGTTTTGGTCTGAGGTGCCTAACACAATCTGTTTGGTCGTGCATGGCTGCTCGTTGGCCAGCCAAAGCATGACAAACGTACAGTTTCTCGAGGGCCGTGAGTGCACCAATGGCGGGGGGGATGGCACCAGACAGATGATTGTCGGAGAGATAGCTGCGATGGGGGCATGCGGGCCATAGGAGATGGAGGGCCGTGGGGTCATTGACATGACACGTGGGGAGGCATGGTGATGGCATGTGAGTGAGACACGAGGAGGCATGGGAGTGAAATGAGGAGGTGAGGCCTCGAAGATGCTGAGGTGCGCTGTGAACGCACAGGGACGAGCATGGTGAGAGCATGGTGAGAGCATGCAGAGGGACAGATACAACAATGCCATAAGCATTCATCTCTTTTGACATCTGCACAAAAATTGGACGGGTGATGTGAGGCATGAATTGAATGACTATGGGAAAAAATGGACGGAAGATTCGGAGTGGCACGAATTGAATGATTTCGAGCATTCTCAAAAGGGCAATGTGATGGCGAATGTAGTGGCACGCACAGGGCTGTAAGAGTTGTCATGTGTGAGATGGCATCTGGAATGGACTCGTTTAACGCGTTTGATTGCAGATCACTGCGGAGAGAGGAAGTGGGAGAGAGGAAGTGGGAGAGAGGAAGTGGGAGAGAGGAAGTGGGAGAGAGGAAGTGGGAGAGAGGAAGTGGGAGAGAGGAAGTGGGAGAGAGGAAGTGGGAGAGAGGGAGTGAGAGAGAGGAAGTGGGAGAGAGGAAGTGGGAAAGAGGGAGAGGAGGGTGGCTTGGTAACCTGCATGGCCGTATCTTTCACAAAATCAAGACGAGGACCTTTTGAGAAGTTAGCCTAGGACTTGGCCATATTTGCCTTCTGCCCTCTGCCTTTTGCCCTTCTGCTCTTAAGGCTGGGTGGTATTCAGGTCACATGTGACCTGACATGTTCCTTCGCGTCTACGAGTTCCTTGTCATGTGACCTGGATGTTCCTTCCTCTGAGGGCGTGATAGTCTCCACACAGACCCTTGGGCAGCTGTGAGCCTGTGACTGCTTGGGCGGAGTGCCAGAAGGTGCTTCATGTGATGCTACCTATCCTAGACTCTAGAGAGCTGCGAGCTCAGACACACTTGGCCATGCTGCCGAGCTCAGTGAGCAGCTTTGCTCAGAGGCTGCGAGCTGCCAGTGGTTCAGAGGTAGGAGAGCTTGCTGCCTTTGCCACGCCTGCGTCGGAAGTGCCTGTGCGGGAGGCGTCGCCTGCCCTCCAGTTGCCGTCAGTGGTACTGGATGTTGCAGCTTTGATGGGGTCTGGAATAGCAGTTGACACTGCATACATCCCGAACCCCTCTCACATTCCTCCCTCCCTCCCCTCCCTCCCTCCCTCCCTCCCTCCCTCCCTCCCTCCCTCCCTCCCTCCCTCCTTCCCTCCCTCCCTCCCACCCACATTCTCTCCCTCACTTCCTCCTTCTCTCCCTCCCTCCTCCCCCCCCCCCCCTCTCCCCCCTCTCCCACCGCCCTACACATGCCCCCTTGCCTCTCACATGTAGAAGACCGAAGTGAGGGCGCTCAAGGATTCAGGAATGGGGCCCTCCAGGCTGTTGCAGCACAGGTTGCTGCGCACGTGGCAGCACAGCGCACAGAAAGTGGGAGGGGGCAGTGAGGGGGGAGGGGGAACAGAGGACAGCGGGGGGGAGGGGTACGGCTGGTGAGGCGGGTGAAAAGAAAATGGTTGCTGCAGAGCCGTCCTGGTTGCTACAACACGAAAAGAGGTTACTGTAGTAAATGGAGAGGGATACTGAGGTGTTTGCAGAGTTTGGGTGCGATGAAGTATTTCTGCATGCTGGTAGAGGAGATGGGAGGAAGGGAGATAGTATGCATGGTTAGGAGAGAGGCCGCAGGGGACCGGGATGAGAATGAAGTGGTGTGGTGAAAACGCGTGGAGCGATGTAGAGTGGTACAAGAGGTTAGAGAGTGGTTAGAGTATCAAGGCACAGCAAAATGTTTGCAAACCTCGGTTTGGGGAGGTGTATGGGTATACAGAGTGGTGAGGCAGGCGTACAGAGCGGTGAGAGAGGTGAGAGTGGCAAGCGCTGTTGGGATGGATCCACGTAGACCACGCATTCCCATCCACCTGTTGTGTTGTGTTGAGGGCACACATGCACACATGCACACACGCGCGTACATCTCTCTCTCTCTCTCTCTCTCTCTCTCTCTCTCTCTCTCTCTCTCTCTCTCACACACACACACACACACACACACGCACGCACAGAGGTACAGAAGCAGCAGTAGAGTTAAGCACAGTCACGGCACGCTAACAGCATGTCAATGGCTACTGTGGCCCACCGCACCCTCCCTCTCTCCCCACCCTCAATTGCTGCTACAACCACCATTCTGTCCTCCCATTCCCCTCCCTCCCTCCCTCCCCGTTTCCCAACCTCCCCTTTTCCCTCCCTCCTTCCCTCCCTGCCTCCCTCCCTCCCCTCATCTCCCCTCTCTCCCTCCATCCACGTCCGCCTTCCCCACGCCCCTCCGTCCCACCCTGTTGGCGCACATGGCAGTGACGAGCCCGTTGGTGTCGCATGCAATGGCATCCGCCGTGTCACAGTCGCCCCCCACCCGCCACCCGTAAGGTGACACGCCCCATGCTGCAGCGCACTCCACCAGCGCCCGCGCTGCCAAAGGGCGACACAGGGGGGAGGCAGGGTAGAGAAAAGGGGATGAGGGAGGGAGAGGAGGGGGAAGGGTTGGGAGAGTGGGCGACGCAGTGGGGAGGCAGGGAGGGAGAAGGCAAGGGAAAGGCAAGGGAGGAGAGCGGGTAGTAGGGATTGAAGAGAAGGGGGAAGGGAGGATGACGGGAGGGGATTGAGTTGGTCGCTGAGCGGCGAGCAGTGATGCTGCCACGGGCACGCTCATTGGGGTGTGGACGAAGCAGGAAAAGAGGAATAGTAGCGAGGGAGCATAGCAGCGAGGCCTGAAGTGTGATTGGTATACGTTCGTCAAGGTGGGAAGTGGGGTGTGGGGCATGGCAGGGAGGAGGGCGGAAAAGGGGGGATGAGAGCGGCAGCGGTGGAGGTTGGGGAATGGAAGAACAAGAGGGAGAGAGGGAGAGGGATGGAATTGGAGGGAGAGGAGGCAAAACATTTGCAAAAGAGGAGGCTGTGGATGGGATACAGTGAGAAAGACCGGGAGCGGGAGTCGGAGAGGGAGAGGAGTGGAATGGAAGAGTTGAAGAACGGGAGGGAGAGGGGGGGGAGTGGGGGAGAGTTTGGGATAGTGGGGTCGAGCGGCGGTGCAGGTAGGAGGAGGAGCGAGCAACCTTGGGCGTCGTTGATGGGAGTGGCGGCAGCAGGGCACGGCGCCAGCAGAAGCAGCCCCGCCGCAGCCACCAGCAGCAGCAGCAGCGGCGGCGGCAGCGGCAGCGGGAGGTGCAGCAGCGGGCGGGGGAAGGAGAATCTGCGTGGGTCACCCATGACTCTCCAGATCGATCTTTCTTTGGAGGACGGAAAGAAGGAAGGCAGGACGAAGGGCGAGGCTGAAGGGCGAGGCTGAAGGGCGAGGCTGAAGGGCTGAGCAACGAGGAGGAGTGGTGAGGGTGCAGGGCGCGTGCAGAGGGCGGCTGACGACGCTGATGCCACGAACTCAACTCACGGCTGCGCTTGGTGTCTTCTTTTCTGAGAAATCTTAAAGCTGCTGCCACGGCAGCTTTGCTCAGGCAGCCAGGGAAAAGCTGATCCTGCGTTTCCAAGATTCGCACTCCGGCGGTGTGAAACGCGTCGGTGGACAAAGTATCAACACGACTAGAGATTTTCTCAGAGTCTGGTTATCAAACACGACTAGAATTCGAGTCGAGCAATGGCAGTACGATCGCCTGGACTGGCAAATATTGATCTCTTTGCAGCACGACGCGGGTGGATGAGAACAGGTAGTGGGTTTTGGTAAACCATGTCGCCATATCTTGCGCTTTTCTTGCAAACGACTCACACGAAGGTGCATTGCATCCGAAAATTGACGGCTTCAAAAAGTAACTTTCCAGGGCCGAAAACTAACTCGAGCACCAAGTTACTGGCAAACTGGCTTTTTTACGCGACTCACTCAAGGTCGCAGCCAGCGATTCCCAAACTATTGGGAACCAATCGAGCTCACTCGGATTTAGGCTCGGCAATGCGCTTGATTGGTTTAAAGCCCGAGTCTAGAATAGCAAGGGTTCAAGTTCAAGATTCTTGAACATGATTTCGCAGGTGAACACGGTAACCTGCTTTTCTGTGGGGCTCTCTCGCGATCCAGTGTGAAGGTGTTTGAAGGGCAGGAATGTGATTGGATAAAAGCACAACAGCAAAACCACTGACGACCCTCGCCAGAACAAACAAAAACTGACACAACTGTTCACACTTCCGGAAACTTGAAGCTTGAAGCTACCTTTCTAGACTCGTTTAGTAGTAGGCTCCATAGCCCACAATAATATCGCCAGCTACCGATAACTACACTCCCAATTCATCCGATCGCTCGCGGTAGGCGCAAGTGAAATCTCATAAACCATCTCTTCCGTTGTATCCGCCGCTCCGGCTTCTCCAGTCGCACTCGACCCTCCCGTCTCTCTAGTCCCTCTCGTCGTTCCCGCTCTTCCCGTCGCCCTCGTCGCGTCTGTCCTGGCCGCCGCTCCCGTCACTCCCGTCCCAGTCGTGCCTTCTGTCCCTCCTCCGTCCCTCCCGTCCTTCCCGTCGCGGACGTACGTCCCGTCCCTCCCGTCGCCCAACACCCTCCGTCCCTTCCGTCCCGCGCCTCGCTCCTGTCCTTCTCCTCCCTCCCGTCCATCCCTTACCTCTCTGCCGCTCGTCATCCGTCCCTCACTCGATCCGTCGCGCACTCCCTCCGTCGCTCGAACAAACCCACCGCCCAAACAGGGCAATCGCCTTGCGTCAGCTGATGACCTAGGTCCAGTCGCTCACACACTCCCGTTCCGCACACTCACTCTCGCCGCTCACGCACTCCCGTCCCTGAATGCGTCCTGTCGCTCACACACTCTCTTCCCGCGCTCACTCATTCCGTCGCTCGCTCACCTTGTAGCGCGCAGCACTCCCGCCTGTCTTCACACCACGGTTTCAGTTCCCCTGCCTGGACCGCATCCTTTCATTTCCGCATGCAGTCACATCAATGGCTCTGCCATCTGTTCGTCGTCGCGCTTCTCCGCGTCTTCCGCCTCCTATCCTCCTTTCCATGTCAGCACCTCTCCTCCTTTCCCTCTCAGCCCCTCTCCTCCTTTCCCTCTCAGTCCCTCTCCTGCTTTCCCTCTCAGCCCCTCTCCTCCTTACCCTCTCAGCCCCTCTCCTCCTTTCCCTCTCAGCCCCTCTCCTCCTTTCCCTCTCCGTCCCTCTCCTCCTTTCCCTCTCAGCCCCTCTCCTCCTTTCCCTCTCAGTCCCTCTCCTGCTTTCCCTCTCAGCCCCTCTCCTCCTTACCCTCTCAGCCCCTCTCCTCCTTTCCCTCTCCGTCCCTCTCCTCCTTACCCTCTCAGCCCCTCTCCTCCTTTCCCTCTCAGCCCCTCTCCTCCTTTCCCTCTCCGTCCCTCTCCTCCTTTCCCTCTCAGCCCCTCTCCTCCTTTCCCTCTCAGCCCCTCTCCTCCTTTCCCTCTCCGTCCCTCTCCTGCTTTCCCTCTCAGCCCCTCTCCTCCTTTCCCTCTCAGCTCCTATCCTCCTTTCCCTCTCAGCCCCTCTCCTCCTTTCCCTCTCAGTCCCTCTCCTCCTTTTCCTCTCAGCCCCTCTCCTTTCCCTCTCAGCCCCACTCCTCCTTTCCCTCTCAGCCCCTCTCCTCCTTTCCCTCTCAGCCCCACTCCTCCTTTCCCTCTCAGCCCCTCTCCTACTTTCCCTCTCAGCCCCTCTCCTCCTTTCCCTCTCAGTCCCTCTCTTCCTTTCCCTCTCAGCCCCTCTCCTCCTTACCCTCTCAGCCCCTCTCCTCCTTTCCGTCTCAGCCCCTCTCCTCCTTTCCCTCTCAGCCCCTCATCTCCTTCCCCTCTCAAAACGGTATGCCCAATGCACCATGCACCATGCACCATTCCACGTGCCTCATGCCTCATGCACTGTGAACCATGCACTAATCACAATATCCGCCCCTTCCCCGCTCCACCATTTCCCCCTTCCCCCCCACCCACCCCTCCCTCTCCCCTCCACCCCCTTATTAGGTGCTGGGTGCATGATTAGGCTATATTTCATTATACCACTCTCCTCATGCCTCTCGCCTCTCCCCTCCCCTCCCCCCCCCCTCCCCACTGGAAACCCTGGTGTGTGTGTGCCCAGCTGCCATGGGGAACCCTGCCGCCCGCGCCCTGCGCGTCGCCTTACAGAAACACGGCCAGCCGGACATCACATATGCCAGCTGGCAGCCACACTGACACGTGAATTGGCACCCGGCTCATTCACCCGTTTTTCCCCTTGTCCCTCCCTCACTTTCCCCTTGTCCTGCCCTCCGTTTCCCCCCATGTTTCTCCCACCCTTTTCCCCCTTGTCTTCCCCTCCGCTTCCCCTTCTCCCGTTCATCCTTCCGCTCTCGTCGCTCTCGTCGCTATCGTGTCTCTTGTCGCTCTCATCATTCTGGTCCCTGCCGTCGCGCCCCGTCGCTTCCCTCCCTCTAGACTATCCCTCCCGCGCCTTCCTTCCCTCCACGCCTCTAGATTATGCTGTTTTACCCTCCGTCCCTATGCGGTGTCCCCCCTTCCCTCAATCTGCTTTCCCCCTTCACCCCGCCCTCCCTTTCCCTCTTTTCCTACGCGCAGCTTCCCCCCTTCCATGCGCGCTCGCATTCCCCTTCCTGACGAGCTGCTTTCCCCACTTCTCCCCGCGCGGCTCCCCCCTCCCTACGCGCTAGTTTGTGTTTGTACAGGCCCTCTATGCAACTGGTTGTGGTGATGTTGGTGTTTGATAGTACCACAATGACCAGCCATGCCATGTATTCATGGTGGATGCTTTGTTACACGGTAATACAATACAAACCCTGAGCTTATGAGCAGCCATGCACATGACCACTACAAAAAAAGTGCAACAGCGAAAGTACTTTTATTTTTTTAGGGAACAACTGACTATCAACACGAAGAAGACAGCTTGGAAATGTAATGTTTTATACCCACTCTTGTCTCTGCTACACTGCATGCAATAAACCCTGGGCCATGGTGCTGGGACTTGTACCCTGCGAGGTTGGAAATGGGGGTGAGTGAAAGGGGGAACAGATTGAGCAGCGGAAAATAGAGTGAACAGGAAGAAACAAAGCGAGTAGGAGGGAAGAGAGTGAGCAGGGGGAAACAGAGTGAGCAGGGGGGAAGAGAATGAGAAGGGGGAAACAGAGAGAGCAGGGGGGAAGAGAATGAGCAGGGGGAAACAGAGTGAGCAGGGGGAAAGTGAATGAGCAGGGGGAAACAGAGTGAGCAGGGGGGAAGAGAATGAGCAGGGGGAAACAGAGTGAGCAGGGGGGAAGAGAATGAGCAGGGGGAAACAGAGTGAGCAGGGGGGAAGAGAGTGAGCAGGGGGAAACAGAGTGAGCAGGGGGGAAGAGAATGAGCAGGGGGAAACAGAGAGAGCAGGGGGGAAGAGAATGAGCAGGGGGAAACAGAGTGAGCAGGGGGAAAGTGAATGAGCAGGGGGAAACAGAGTGAGCAGGGGGGAAGAGAATGAGCAGGGGGAAACAGAGTGAGCAGGGGGGAAGAGAGTGAGCAGGGGGAAACAGAGTGAGCAGGGGGGAAGAGAATGAGCAGGGGGAAACAGAGTGAGCAGGGGGGAACTGAATGAGCAGGGGAAACAAGCAAAGGGGAAGAGAATGAGCAGGGGAGACAAAGTGAGCCAGGGGGAAGAGAATGAGCAGGGGGAAACAAGCAAAGGGGAAGAATGAGCAGGGGAAACAGAGTGAGCGGGGGGGAGGAGAATGAGCAGGGGGAAACAAGCAAAGGGGTAGAGAATGAGCAGGGGGAAACAAGCCAAGGGGAAGGAGAATGAGCAGGGGGAATCAGAGTGAGCCGGGGGGAAGAGAGTGAGCAGGGGGAAACAAGCAAAGGGGAAGAGAATGAGCAGGGGAGACAAAGTGAGCTGGGGGGAAGAGAATGAGCAGGGGGAAACAAGCAAAGGGGAAGAATGAGCAGGGGAAACAGAGTGAGCGGGGGGAAG